GCTGTTCTTGAATGGTGCTGGTTGAGCGCTAGCGTTGCGGTCTTGTAATCGTAGAGGGTTTCAAATTCTAGAACAGCATCGAATATTTGACGGAGGTCTTTTATTTGTAAGAGATCTTTTTTCTCGTAAAAAATCCGTCAAATGGCGAAAACGGGTGCAAAACCCGCAGTTAAGCAGTTAAGGGCCGACGCAAAATTTAACCAATGATAGCATCTCGTTTCAAATACCAATCTTGTATTGGTAAATAAGCACTAAATACGAAACCTTTCAATCTGTATCTGTGGATTACACGTATTTATAAATTAAAGCGATAATGCCTGATCGGACAAACTCTCAGAGAGTGTATCGCTTTACTGTTAATTTATCGATTTTTTCTTCGCCCTGGTCCTAACTATAATATCGTTGAGAGCGTAAATCCATTATTCTTGAGTGACAAAGTGAAGAAGACGTTATGAATGCGTTTGCGGTCTGTGGGAAGACTTCATCCTGCAAAACATTGTGAGTTGCAAAAGGACCTATTCAGAGGTCATGACTTCCAGCGGTTTTTGCGGATCCGTTTTGGAATTTAGTGGATTGATCACCTTGCATTTTGATTTCCTAAACATGTTTGGCGGACTAGTGTCGGGTGCTTTCAGAAACACACATTTATCATGAAGATATTCAGTGTTAACTTCACCCGTCGCCCCATACGTAACCTTCGCCTCCCCTGTGCGTCACATACAGCGTATGTCTGCCTATTTGCTTTGCCCTTGGAGTATGGCCAAGGTTATCGTTTCCTGTCATGGTTATTACCACAACCAAGGCTTGAAGACCGAACCTCTAGATGCCGTTCCACAAGAACGTGGCCAGCAGCTCAGCCCGATCACCGCGCCAGTGCTCATATGGGACCCAAACTTGATTCTTCTTAGTTCAACTAGAGACGCAAGGCTAGCTTTACTTCATTTTCAATCTCATTCTCAATTTTTCCTGACAGCAACAACTTCGAGTCTCAACACGACGGAAAACGTGACACCTACCAGAACGACAGATTCACATCGAATACGCTAGGTATGACACTATTGAAGTGTCGCCGTTCTTTGTTTATTAATTCCCTCCGCGACTCCAGGTGAAGCTACCCTTGTAGCGTGACGCAGCTTGTGGCGACGCCATTGTTATTTGCTGCAACCGGACAGCTACAAAATCGATTTTTGTTGAGGGGACTGCAGTGTGAAGTGGGCGAGAATCTAATTTAGATTCAAGTGTGATTGACTTTTAAGCGTCCCTTGATTCGAATAAATGAATTTGCTTTATTCTGTATTGAGGTCTGTCGTCAGAGCAGCGTATAATGCACACCATTTGCATATAATATATGAACCAATTGGCGGTGACCCGGGTCACCAACTATTATGAGAACAAAATCTGAAATATTTATTTAATTTTAGCACCAGGTATTTCTGTAACGGCTCGCGTTTGGACTGCAATCCTTCCACTGTTGGCTGAAACGAGCGACCCTCCTACGATAGAACGACGAACTGGCGGTACAGGTGGCTCGAGCCAGACTGCACCACGGAAGAAACAAAAGCCTCGGAATCGACTGACAGCGTTTGAGCGTGCTTGTGCTCTACTTGGCACTGAGAAAGTTGAGCAGTTACAAGCCAGCTAGAATCCAAATGGGGCGGGACCGAGCACCTGTCGGGGTCTTCCTCCTTAGTGTCGGGGTCGTGTATCTAGCAGGCCGACGTAGGAACGAGAACTAGGGCGATAATTCCAAATGTAACTTGATATATTCCAAGTACTTCTCTCTTAAGAAGGAAAAACACAACTGAGCCTCTTCCCTACGGTCTTCACACGATCTAGAAGCTATTTACCGGTCCACAAATCCTCCCCACGCGGCGGTCCACAACGAGGTACCCCCACGTTCCCTCCATTCCAGTCCCACTTCACAGTGTAACACCGAAGTCTGCTCCTCTTGCTCTTGTTTGTAGGATGTAGCACGTTGAGTCTGTAGAGAACAGACCTTCTGAATGCAGTGCACAAGGAAGGTGAATCCACCATCTAGCTGTAGACCGTGACACACCCTCAGACGGGGGTATGGTTCTCTCCTTGACTGGCCAAGGCGTTCCAGACGCACAGGTTAGAGCAATATTCGGCGTTGGTGGACCCAAGATAGCGCGTCTCAAAGCCGTAACCAAGAATGGGATCGACACACTCGGTGCCAGCGTAACCGCGCAAGTCACTCTTACTCAGATGATGGCATGAAATTTCTAATTACAGTAACTGTAACGAATGGGAACTTGAAGAAGGATATCCATGTTCGCATCGTAATTTACGGTAGTACTTAGTGTAGCCTGGTGTAACTTGGAAATTATTAAGGTCAAGATACGAACAAAAGCTGAAGACCAAAGCCGTTGTATTATGGAGTATTCGCGGTGGCTCCAGTACGTACACTATTACTTTCCTGGTGTTCGCCAATAACAACAATTCAGTCTCGGTAACCTCAGATACAGTGCCCGCCAAATCATTAAGACCCCCGATTTGGCGGGACACTTTGACAATATCTCGGCTTCTAGCCTGAGTTGGGAACTGCTAGTTTGATATGTTCTCTCTATTAGGCTTACAGAGGTGCCACTTGTGTTAACAACTTAGATTTCAAAGTATCTGACAGGGCTGGTATACAAATTCAAGGTTTGGGCACCAGCGTCAAATTATTAAGACCACATCCTTTTTATGACGAAAATAGCACTTTTATGAACAGACCATACAAACTTCTATATTAAAA